GACTATTATATGGTGATAGAGGTCGGAAGGACCGTAGCGGTAGGAGATAGGGGTCAGAAAAACCGTTATCTTGCGATGGAGGTCGGGAGGACCGTAGTAGGTGACAAAGGTCAGAAGGACCGTAGTCAGCAGGAGATAAGGGTCAGAAAGATCGTTGTTTGGTGATGGAAGTCTGAAGGACTGTAGTAGGTGACAAAGTTCTGAAGGACCAAAGTTGGCAGGATATAGGGGTTAGAAAGACCATAGTCGTAAGGCAGTGGTCCGGTGGAAGTCCAGGCATTATTTGGTGGTCTGGTGGAACTCTGACTTATGTCGGTGGTTTGGCGAAAGTTCGGGCCTCAATCGGTGGTCCGGTGGTGATTTAGCTGAACTCCAGCATCGGGAGGTGGTCTAGTGGAACTCCGTCATCAGGCGGTGGTCCGGTAGAAGTCTGGTGTTGGGCGGTGGTTCGACATAAGTCTGGTGTTAGGCGGGTCCTGACGGAAGTCCGGCGTCAGGCGGTGGTCCGACAGAACTCTTGCATCAGGTGTTGGTCTAGCATAACTCCAGCGTCATGTAGTGATTTGGTAGAACTCCAGCGTTAGGTGATGGTCTGGGAAAACTCTAGCGTCTGGTGGTGGTTCAACGGAAGTCCAGGAGAAAGTCCAGCGACTATCGGGTGGAAGTACAACAGCGGTCAGTGTCCGGACAGTGGTCCGATGACAGTTGGGCTAAACTTTGAAGATGGTTGGCGGTGGTTTGAAGACGGTCGAGATGAAGTTCGGTTGCGGTTAGCAGTCGGGTGGAAGCCTGGTGGTAGTTTGTGACAGAGTGGTGGTCCGAGGATGATCGAGGTAAAGTTCGGCAGTGGTCTGACAGTTTTCGTGCTTAAGTTTGATGGCATTCGGCAGTAGAGTGGTAGTTTGACGGTGGACGGGCAGAAGTTTGGCTGCGGTCAGTGGCTGGGTGGAAGTCCGGAGGCGGTCAGCAATGGAGCGGCGGTACGACAACAATCAGATTGAAGTCTGGCGACGGTCGTCGGCCGGGTGGAAGTCTTGCGGCGATCAGTAGTTGGGCGGTGGTCCGACCACGGTCAGGTTGATGTTCGGCGGTGGTCAGTGGCTGAGTGGAAGTCTAGCGTTTGTCGGTGGACGGGGTGGTCCGACGATGATCGGGCTGAAGTTCGGTGGCGGTCGGCAGCCAGGCGGTGGTCTGGTGATGGTGTGGCTGAAGTTCGGCGGTGGTCGGCGGCCGGGTGGAAGTCCGGTAACGGTCCATGGCCGGTTGGTGGTTTGACGACGGTTGGGCTGATGTTCGGCGGATGTCGACTGCCGAGCAGTGGTCTGATGACGGTCAGGCTGAAGTCTGGCGGCAGTCGGAGACCGGGTGGATGTTCAGTGATAATCAGCGGCCGAGTGACAATGTTGAAGCTCTTGAGGCTTCAGAGCTCTCTCCAATCTCTAGGCCCCTCTGCCTCCTCATGTAGAAAATGGAGGTTTATTTATAGATTTTCATAAGTGGCACACCCCGTATATATAGAAAGATCTGGGGCAGGTTCCGAGTGCTCCATCGAATGGCTCGTATTGGTTCCCCCGATAATAGAGAGTTTTTTAACTAATTAAGTGCCTTAACGATGTTAGAATTCAACGATCTTATGCTCGTTGGATTCGTCTTGACTAGTCGCTCGATTTGACTATAAACATGCCATATTTGTATATCATTTTATTATCCAAATAATGTTTTGACCCTTTCAAATGTGGTACATGCCCCTAATTTAAACCCATTTGGGCTTGGGTTGAACTGATTTTGGTGTCATTAGGTTCATCTCTTTAAGATGTTCAATTTGACCTTAGATTTTGGTCTAGATTTCTAGGTTTGAGATAAATTTTGAATTTAAATTGTTGGATTCTAATCATCGACATCATTCACAATTAATGGGATGATTGCAAATAAATAGATGAGATTGAAGCTTGATAGGATGCTAGAATGATTAAGTCTAGGTTGATTGTAGATCAGGATTGTCTTTGAAGTTTGGATTGGGTTAAGATCTAGATTGATCTAATATCTAGATTGATTTGAAGGTGTGGATCTATTTATGATATAAACAAATCTAAGGTCTAGGTAGATCCTAAGGTTTTAAAGTCTAGAAGGATTCTAAAATCTAAGAAGTCATAGGGTCTGGATTAATCTGGAAGAATCTTAGGGTTTGGATAGATCCTAGGGTTTGGATTCAAGGAACATCCTAGATTCTAGAGTGATTTGGATGCTAGATTGATCTAGGGTCAGGATTAGTCCAAGTGAGCTCATACAAAATTGAGATCACCGGGGGTTAAGCATTATCATGGCTCCGATAACAAACATGTTGAAGGACATTTCTTTCCCATGGTCTGTGAGTCAGCAAAGTAACTTTGAGGCTATTAAGTCTGATCTTAACAATGCCCTACTTTTGGTTTTTCTAAACTTTGATAAACCTTTTCAGGTTGACAAGGATGTGTCGGCTATTGGCATTGAAACTGTTCTCTGTTAGGAGGATCGGCCAATAGAATATTTCAGCGAAAAGTTAAGTTCACCTTGCTAGAAGTGGACAATATATAAAGAAGAACTCTATACCATTGTGAGAGCATTGAAGCAATGGAAGCATTACCTTCTTTACTAGGACTTTGTGCTGTTTAGTGACCACCAATCTCTTCAATACTTGAACAGCATAAAATAGTTAGCAAAACACATGTGAAATGGGTTATCTTTCGATAGTGCTTCAGTTTTGTAGTTCGCCATAAGATGAGAAAAATGAACTGAGTAGCTCACGCCCTCAGTTGTCGAGCCCACTCCCCACTCAGTTGCAAATCGAAGTGACTAAACTACAAGAAATGAAGTCCCTGTATTGCACCAATCATGACTTTGCTACCTCATGGGATGAATGTAATTTTGGAATGCCCAATGTTGATTTCTCTATTAGACATGGGTTCCTCTTTAAGGAAATTCATTATGTGTCCCTTCTTCCTCATGGCGACAACATTTAATTAAAGAGATTCACTGTGGCTGCCTAGCAGCGCATGCGGGTAGAGATCGCACCCTCCAATAGCTACAATGTCAATTTTTCTGGCCACACATGAGGAGATATATTTCCAGGTTCGTGGAGCGTTGCTCTGTTTGCTAAAGGTTTAAAGGCAATGCTTAGAATGCCGGCTTGTACATGCCATTGCTCGTGCCTGACTTGATTTAGGAAGACCCGAGTCTTGATTTCGTTCTAGGATTACCACAAACAAAAAAGGGGGCCGAATTCCATAATGGTCGTTTTTGACAGAATCTCAAAGATGGCTCACTTTATTCCATGCAAAAAGACCTTCAACACCCTTAATATTGCAATCTTACTTCGGATAGAGATATTAAGTTCATTATCCATTTTTGTTGTGAATTCTGGAAGAGGTTACAAACTAATCTAAGTTAAGTTCAGTATATCATCCTCATACGGAAGGCCAGACAGAAGTTATTAATCGAACACTTGCTAGCATGCTGAGATGTCTAGTTCAAAATCATCCAAAACAGTGAGAAGATGTTCTTGTACAGGCAAAATTTGCATTTAACTCCATGCCCAATCGGTATACTGGATTCAGTATTGTTTACACAAAGATGCTGAATCACATTGTAGAATTGGCCATCCTTCCTAAATGACGAAGTACTGTTGCTGGCCAAAGAGCCGAGCAGTTTTCTAACATCCTTAAAGATGTTCAAGACAAATTAATTGACAACAATTCTAAGTACAAGGCAAACATAGACAAGCATCGTAGACGGGTTGAATTCAAGCCAGGCAAATTGGTTATGCCTAACGCGGACTACCACCAGCCCTACTTATGCTACCACTCCCACTACTAGCTAACCATTTTTATTCTATTTTCTGTTTTAGCCGTACCCTTCTCCATTTATTTCTTAAAATACTAGTTTTAGTAATTAGGCAAAGCTACAACCTAAACACATATATATCTTTTGTTTTACAGAGGAGAATACAGAAGTCAATATACTAAAGTTCAAACCCATTGTCCTGTGTTTTTCCTTTCTTCTTCTTGTGGTTTTTCTCCTGTGCAAATGAGATGTTGCATGTGCTGAACATGTGCTACCTAAAAATAGCTTTTTTCTTGCAATGAGAGCATTCAACTTTTTTCTGATCATGTGGGAGAGTTATCTCCTTAAACTCATCCATTGCTGTAGATGTTTTTTTTTTTTCTTTTTTGTTTTCTATTGGACTTTCACTTTTATTTTCAATGATTTGTTCTTCATCCTGGCAATCATTTACTTGCTAGTGTTATCGTGAACGAGTTTTTTTATTTTTGAATGCTTACAAACACAAATCAGAAAAAACCTAATCACTTAAATACTTGTATTACTGAAGAAATTATCTCATAATCTACACAATTTCTCGACATCTTCTTCTTTGTATCTATGCTAATATAATAAACAGAAGAGGGAAAAGTGTTGATTAAACATTTCAACAGAAGTATTTCAACAATCACGAAATAAAATTTTTCTTAACATCCAATCATAAAAGAACTTTAATGAGAAAAGAACTCTGTATTTTCAACAATTCCATATTATTTTCTAGTGACCACATATGCAAGAAATCAAAGCCATTCCAACCTGAGAAATTTACTTTGAGGAAGAAGAAGAACGAGCAAATCCTTTTCGCCATATTCGAATGGTATGTAAATGTTTTTTTTCTTTGTAACGAGGAAGCACTGTCCTTTGGCCAGTGAAAATCCCGATCGACCTAACATGCAACCCTTACCAATTTACATGGGCTAACACTTGAGGATTTCACTGCTTGCCAAGAGATTCTCGAACCAGGGAAGAGTATCCATATGATTCTTTCTTGAGAAATAAGAAATGAAGATAGTGTAAAAAACAAGATAAAAGTTCAAAAAAATTAAAATGATCAATAGACAGCCATTATTGTTTTTACTCAATTTTAAATTAAAATGCTAAAATATCTCTATCAAACTCAAAATTAGAAGAATAAAACAGAGTAAAAAAATATTAAACTAATAAATAACAGTACCTTAAACAGATCAAGCTATCCTACATATTAAACTAAATTCTACAAATAATTTTTAGGATTGGAACTCTTAGAGCATCTCCAACCGAAAATGTCATTTTTCACTCCAAAATGCAGGGAAATCAAAAAATGCCGTATTTCATCTCCAATCCAACGCCATTTTGCCGCTAAAATGGTCGTTTTCGTTCGCGCCTTTCTTCCCAAGCTGTTCAGTAGAGAGAAAAAAATGCCGCGGATGAACAGTGCCACGCCAATATTGGCGTCGCACTGTTCATCCGCGATCAAATGGCGTCAAAAATGGAGATCGGTTGGAGCAAAGCAAGAACGGCAAACAAGTGTTTGCCGTTCGGTTGGAGATGCCCTTAGGACAGCATAAGGTTACTACAGCAACAACAACACAGAATGAAGCTGTAGCAACAATGGCAGAACAGATCCATCTCTTCCATTTTCTTCCACCAGCTTGCTCTACTTCTGATTTCTTCCTCGATTGCTCCAAACACCAAATAGAGCAATCCTTATCCGCTATAATGCGCTCCATATTGCTCTGAATCTCATCTTTCTCTCTAACAAGGGCACGCAGCAGCATTTCTTCCGCATCAAGTTGAGCAGCAGCGGACTCTGTCTTCATCACCGCCATCTCCGCGTTGTCCTGCGTGGGATGTCTCTGAGCTATAGAAGAGACCTTGTGCTGGCTCCCGGCGAGGATGTTGTGGTGGGAGGCTAATGCAGCTAGCTGAAACTGGAGTTGCTCGATTTGTTTGCGGCACACTGCCACTTCCTTCACGAGTTGGCCATTGAGGATTTTCAGTTTATCAATGGATTTAGTTTCAGAACTTGCAGCAGCTGCTGGAGAAGAGTGGTTATTCTTCTTTCCCATGAGATGAGGAATGGAAGAGGGATTGAAAGGCTTTAATTTGCTTCTACTACAGTGAAGAGAACAGTTGAATTGGGTTAGTGAAATGGACTGGTAAGGATGCGTTTATTTATAGATCCTCTGAGGCAGATTATTGAGGGACGGTTCAGACTCTTAAAAATCGAAAATTTGAAAACTTTTCTCTCTTCTACAACGGCCTCCCTCTTCCTCTCCGCCATTTTCGACTTACCCAAGCTTTTCAGCCGCCTCAACGGAAGGAGATAAGAAAGTACGCCTCCCGCCTTGACTATGTCAGCCCACTATTCTCGCTGATGAATCGCTCTTCTAACAGTGGAGAAGAAACGGAGATAATTCAGAGACGGTTCAGACTCCTTTTAAAAATTCGAAAATGTAAAAACTTTTCTCTCTTCTACAACGGCCTCCCTCTTCCTCTCCGCCATTTTCGACTTACCCAAGCTTTTCGGCCGCCTCATCGGAAGGAGATAAGAAAGTAGGCCTCCCGCCTTGACTATGTCAGCCCACTATTCTTGCTGCCTTGCATTTGGGTTCCTGCATCGACCTGGCTACATCTGACTTATTATTATTTTGGTTAATTTTATTCCATTATCTATTTTCTTTCTCTATGTTCTGTACTTCTGTTATGATTTTGGCGTATAACTTTTCTGCATCACATAATTAAAGTTTTTTTTAAAAAAAAAATATGTTTGAAGAACTCAGAAAATGGGGTGTCAATATTTGACACGACCAGAAAATTTTGGGTTAGTGTTGACCCGAACCTTAATCGGGTCGGGTTCGGGTAAGAATTTTTGACCCGTTTTAAAAATTGTGTCGGGTTCGGGTTGACCAGGAAACCCGGAAATGACCCACAGTGCCTGCGCTGACCGAGCCTGCCTGCAATGACCATGGTTGTCCGCGTCGTGTTCCGAGGTGGCTTCCAGGTCATTTCCTGCGGACGCGTTGTGTCCAGGCAGTCCAGCGGACCAACTCCAGCCGTCAGTGCGTCTCGTCAGCGTCGCATCAAGAGGCTTACGCGCATGCACGCAGCTGCCGCAGTGCCGCTTCCGCTGCCTCCGCCCGCTGTGTCGCGC